AAAAAAAAAATAATAATAATAAAATAAAAATTTAAATTATTTTTAAAATTATAAATTTGTGGGCCAGGCCAGGCCCAAAATTTAAATTAATTAAAGTAGACTAGACCAAGCTAGTAAAAAATTTTTAACTCTCATTGAAAACCAGGCCTGGGCTAAAAATTTGAAAGTTGTAAACCTCTAGTATATGATAGCTTCTCTATAAACATATTTATACTATTATCTTATACTATTTTTTTTACTTTTAAAGAACATCAAACTATCTTGCCAACAATAGCAACAAATTTGACATCTATAGCAGCTACTCATATCTAAAGAACCTATTCATAGTATTCAAAAAATAATACAAAATCTTAATAATCTTGATGTCAATTCTTTACAAGTTATTTATAATCAATTGTCTAAAGTCATTGAGAATATTTGTAGTCCTAATAAAACTTTCCAAGCAGGTGACTAGGTGAGTAATCAAAATATTAAATTTTCTCCAAATATAATTGTAAAAAGACAGTAAAGATAAGATAAATTGTATATATTTATCATCATAATTACTATTTAACTAATATATATTAAAATGAGAACTTTTATTAACAATCTTTTCATTTGTTATTATAAAGCAATTTACATATTAAACTAATATTTATTAACATATCTGTTAAATCTTGAAAAAAGTTGCTAAATATCAAAATTTTAATATTATTTTATATATAGTTCTGTTAAAAATCAATGTTATTTTAATAAATCTACCTTCATTGTTTATTTTATTTTAGCTTTATATTACTTGTACAAATAAGTATATGCAATATTAATCATATAATATAAAGTTTATTTTGCATTGTGATTAGCTTGTTTAATTTTTGAAGAAGGCAGTTAAGCAAGAGGAACGATAATAATCTAAAAATCAACTAAAAACTGTCTAAAAAAAGTTCATCAAATTACTTTGATAATTGTCAAGATATTTTATTAAAATATTAATCTAAATAGAAGTAGAAATAAAAATTTTTTACTTTGAGTAAAGATATCTTGACAACAATCTAAACAATTTCAATTGACTTATTTTTTAGTTCTACTGATTTGTATAATTAAATTAAAAAAAGTTTATCAATTTTGCTTAGGTGGTAGTGTTGAAGTATCTTTATTCAAAGTTTGGTAAAAAAAGTCTATTAAATATAGAAACAAGAAAATTTTTTAGAAACTTTAACTAAAAATATCTTGAAAATCATTTAAGAAAATTTGATAAAATTTTTATTTTTAATACTATAAACTTGTAAAATTAAAATAAAAAAACTTCATTAAATTTGTTTTATTTTTTTTTTGCTTTAAAAAGGAGCTCTGTGTTCTATTGTTTTATTAGGTAATTAACCTATTCATATAGGAGGTATTACATTTTATATATCAGCAAGGCCACAATAGCCACATATATAACTTTAGTTATTGTCTATTTAAAGATTCTGCCTGTAGATTATCTACTAATTGCTATATCTAAAACCTGCTTGTAGATTCTCTATTTAAGTCCTCTGACTTTCAATATTTTTCTGCAATACCAGCCTAATTTTTAACGACAGGACCTTGGACTACTTTATTCGCAAACTAAGCTTCTACTAAAATGGAGGTAGTTTCCACAACTACACCCCAATTTGGGTTTCTTGTACCAGAGGTGTTACTCATTTGGTAAGGCCAATTCTTTTTCACAGATCTTCCACATGTTTGCTACTTCTTTCACCATTTATGGTGTCTACGCTCCATAGGTTAATCACTTTCTGTGAATTTTTAACCCAAATTTGTATTTACTTGGACTTGTACCACAGGGCTTCGCATCCGATTTATAACTTCCTTTTGATTACAGAGTAAATTTCACTTCCAATCAAACTCGAACTGTTGATCTTGTCTATGATGGGGTCAAAAACTTACCAAGTAAGCTATGGGACCCAAACTCCCAGTTCATCAAATTTGTTTAGTTGTTGAGATATCTTTATTCAAATTTGGTAAGAAATTAATTATTATTCTCTGTGCTAGTGGTTAAAAATAGTCACTCTTATTAAAAATTAGAATTAGAAAATACTTTTAAGATAAATAGAAGTTTTTATATAAATGATTTTTTATATAACATAATATAGATAAGGTACCAGGTCTTAATCTTAGTTCTCGTAAGGGCTTTAACAACATTTTGTGAGAAAATAATATTTAATGTATATTTAATTCAGGTCATTATTAAAATAAGAAAGTATAAAAAAATTATGATTATACTAGGTTGTTGTAAGTTCGAAGCAAGTTAAAAAGATTTATTTGATTGGTCACGTGGGTGGACAGATAGATAAAATATTATACATAGGAACCGCATAAAAATTCACGGTCTTGTAATAATCTACGCTAAAATTATATTGCTCTATAAAAAAAGATTACTTGGTTTTATCCTGTTTTTGTCGACAATGTTTGGAAAGAAATCGCTATAGGTATAAAAACAGGACAAAAACTATACATCAGGGATGTATTAGTTTTACCTGTTTTTATATCTATAGTGACTCCTTTCTGAACATTTTTTGAACATTGTTGACAAAAACAGGATAAAATCAAGCAAACTTTTTTATAGGGTTGGCCAAACAAACCGCAGATTGTCAACGCATTTTTCGATCAATAAATTAACTTTTGATATTAGGATAAGGGTGAGCATTAGGACAATATTAAAAAAGGTGGGCATAAGCAAAATTTTGCAAGAAATTTTTTTTGCTAAGACGCAAAAAGTTAAAATTTTGAGTTATGGTCGATTTTTTAAGAAAAGCTGGCAGTCTGTTTTGTTTTCATGTTATACCTGATCCTATGCCGTGATTGGTTTGGTTGAGTCATCTTATGTTGCGATTCAGATCTTTTGTGGACGGACAGATTGACAATATGTGCAGATCATCAGCCAATCACAATTTAGTCACGTGCTGAACAGATAGCCATTTTTTAAGTTTTACTTGTACATGTAAGTTCTCGCTATGCTTCGGATAACTAATAATACTAACTAAGAATAACTCTATATCCTATAAAAATGTTTGTTTAGTTATTGTAGGCATTGTCCAAAAAAATGTTCAGAACTGAGTTGATTTTCTGAACAGGGTTTATTTTTGTATTGTTTTCATATCGATGTTTGTACAAGATATAAAAATAGGAAATTTTTGATTAAAAATTATCATATAAAAAATACATAAAAGATTTATGAAAAATATATAAAAATATGAACATCCAATAAACATCCTTTAAAATGTTCGGAATAGAGTCGATTTTCTAAACAAAAAATTGGATAATATCAGAATTTTCTGAACAATTTCAAGAGATTTTTTTTTATAAAGATACTATTGTCATTATTTGGATATATTAATATAAAGTCATTAAAAGAAAGGTATTGTCTAACTTAAGAGAGTTCAACTTATCCCTATTTTTTCCCAGAGACATTCTTATATACATTTTTCCTTACTCTGATAGTTTGAAACTTTTACCCGGTAGTTTCTAACTCTGCATCTGTTAATTTCTAACTTTTGTATATTAGTTACTAACTTTTTATTTTTCTTACTTTAGTTATTAACTCTTCTACCCTTAATCAATGTGGCTTACCACCCTATAAAAAAGTTTGTTCAATTATTGTAGGCATTGTCCAAAAAAATATTTGAAACGGAGTCTATTTTCTGAACAGAGTTTATTTTTGTACTGTTTTTATATTGATGTTTGTACGGGATATAAAAATAGGAAATTTTTGATTAAAAATTATCATATAAAAAATGCATAAAAAATTAATGAAAAATATATAAAAACATGAATATCCAATAAACATCCTTTAAAATGTTCGGAATAGAGTCAATTTTCTGAACAAAAAATTAGATAATTTTAAGAGATTTTTTTTTATAGGGCTGTTTCTATATCACAGACCCCAAAATTAAAGATACAAAATAAAAAATATGGAAATTTTTATTGAATTTCTATTTTGGGCATAACAGCATATACAAATCTTCAATTATTGATTCTTATAACTACTTTCTTGATTTTGATTTACATTCTTGTTAATTAACTTGCCCTATAAAAAAGATTGTATAATATATATATTTGTATAATATTTGTGAGAAATGTCTAAAAAAAAATGTTATTCTGTCTATTTAACATGAATAAATACGTACAAATTTCACACAATCTTTTTATAGGGTTGTCCGAAGGTGGAGCTATAATCCACCTGATGCCTGCATATTTTGTATTGGTTGCATAGATAATTTTCTTAATTTTTAATATGTTGAGTTTTACTTTACTAAAAAAGTATAAAGGTTCTAATTATATTTAATCAGAATATTTATTATCAATAATTGGTATTACACTAATCATCCTATATATTAAAACTCTAGTGTCCATCCATCACACTATCGACCAATCAAAATGTTCCAACTTATAGTGTGTGGCTGGCTCAACTAACAAAAACATCTATCATCGTTACCATTACTGAAATTTTGTTCAGTGTATTTA